GAAGGAGGTGAAAGATTGGGGGAATGAAGATAAGATGAGATATAGGTTTAAGGCACTTAGTGGACAGAGGAGTGACTGGGAGCCTCTTTACCTTTTCTGGAGAGACCTAATCATCAAGGTATCTCGCCACCTCAACACCTTCATCATTCACCCTCGCCATGTCAAACATTTATGGTTTTGTCAAGGTGGGGTGTCCCCTCTGTGTCTTGATCGTGTACTTGTGGAGATGTACAGTTGTGGGGATATATCGCCGGTTCCAAATCTTTCGGTTCAAACAACTGAAGGTTGGCGTCTATCTCAGATTCTACGTAAAGCAGCGTACTTGGTGGGCTTATCTCGGGGATCAACTGCAGTTGAGTTTCTAGAGGAAGATTGCTATGTATTGACCCCTCTCTTAAAGGTATGTTTGGTTTCCAGAAAATGCTAGGGGAAGGATAAAATATGCCAATGAAATTTATATTCTTATGTTTTGTTTTATCTTGAAAATGCCAAGGAAATGACATATGATTGATGTTTATTTTTTCGATTTTTACATATATTTATATTTCTTTCTTAACCTAATAGAAATAAATGCTTAGATAAATGAATAAATAAACTAGAAGAACTAGTTTAAAAAACATCTATAACAATTTTTTGAGTTTTAGCATATCTGTCCCTAATTTTATTTCCAATTTCCTCCCTATTTTGTTTCCTTTTTTATTTTATTTTTCCAGGTTTCAAATGGACTCTGAAAGTTGCTGAGCATTTGGTAGCAATACTGTTTATGATTTTTTAGAGTGACAAATTGAACTTGAACTTCAGGGCTAGATTGGATGTAGGGTTAGAAGGGAAGGCTTGGCTTATATCTATAATCACCTATTATGGCATTCCTTGAATTATTTATAAAACCCCAAGCATATATATGGACACAGACTTAACCCTCCAAAACCATCCCCTCACATACCATCTATCCTAAGTCCTAACTGCACCTTCAACATTTGCAGGAAAAAGCTGAAGAAGTTGTCAATTATTTTTCTGAAAATCACTGGACACCGTCATGTATTGTTACAATGAGGAAGTTCCAGGAAACTTGTGGTGGTCAAAAGGAAGCGTCCGCAATTCTGAGTTACTTGTCAGACTGCCATAAAGCCAAGTACCTTGTGATCACCAAAAATGACCGTATAGAGGTAAATGTCTTATCTTTAAGCGGTAGCCTACCCAAAATACGAAATTATGTTATCTTTATGTGCAATGTTATAAGGAAAGCTTACTGTCATTGTTTTTTATCATAATTAAGGGCTAATTTTGTAAAGCTATAAAAGAAATTTCAGTACTTGTATTTTTTTCTGACGAAGCTAGTTTAATGAATGAAGTCCTAGGAGAATGTGTGTGTAAAAGGTAAGGAAGCTTGTTCATGAACATGAATGAATGTTAATATTCTAGCATATAACCTTTATTAAAATAGGAGCCTAAGAAGTTGTTCTGAAATTAGTATTACCAAATACCATGCGGCTCTATTAATCTACTAAATTATTGTCATGCTTCTCTCATTTCTTTCTATTCGCTTACATGCCACATTCTATATCACCTATCTTGTTCATCCATGGATTCAACTCTTTAATAATACCTCCTCCATCCCAGAAAAATAGTTCATTTGGAGAATATTTTTGTCCCAAAAAAGGAGCCTGGCTTTAATTAAAAGTGAACTTTGCTTGTTACTTCAGTACACTAGTTAACTTCAAATAATCTTGGAGATAAGTTCTAGGTCATAAAGTGACCATTCATAACTTGTAAAAATGTAAAGCTTGTATCGACTTGACTAAAAAATAGTTGTACCTTACCCAAACATTCTTTTTGGACGGAAGGAGTAGTAAAGACTATCGGTGTGGTATGACTACCGCACCGTTTAGGTATTATTTTAATTGTAGTTCAATTTAAAGTGACTCACTTTACTTTTGGTGACCTAGAGCTCTTTTGCCTCACTTCCCAGGGAGTAAAAGTTTGTCTCGACTCTGGAGCTGCCCCTAACATCACAACTAAAGATTATAATGTTTTACACTTAATCTGGACAGTGGAAAAGCTTGAACAACAGCTTCAGCTGATTGACCAGCGTTATGAAAAGTATGACTTCTAACTCATTGCACTTTTCTTCTTTAGCTTGACCATTCAGAACATCAGCTTTAAAGCTGATTAATACATGCATAAGAGGTTGTTTAAATTCTTTGTTATTCTCTCAAGCAGTCAAGCTTTTCAGCTCAAATATTTTAACTTCTAGGCTTCTTTGGTTTTGCAATTATTGTACGGAGTATTTATTATCTAGCATATTGGTCTGTTTTGCAGAACAAGGAAGTCAGCTCTAGCTTATTTGAAATGTGGCAACAAATCTGCTGCCTTGAGATGTGCAAAAGAACTAAAGTTGGTATCTCAGAGTCGAGATAAATGCACCAACCTTTTAGATCGAGTCGAAGATGTTCTCAGACTTATAGCAGATGCTGAATCCTCTAAAAAGGTTCGTATTCTCATGTTCATCAAGCGCACAACTTTAGTGGCTATGAGGTTGATAATTTTCATTAAATGACTTCTAACCGTGTCATTTAAAAGGATAGAATAAAGAGTTTTAGGGGTCATTTGGTAAGGAGTAACTTATTTTGCTAAATATGCCAAATTTCTGGAATGAGAAGTGTATGGTAACACCCAATCTGTATAGGCAGTGTTTGTGTTTGCTTTTGAGAAGTGATTTGCTTTGGAGATTATTGAGAAAGTGCTTCGTTGTAAAAGTGAGTGGTGTCTGGAAATAAAAGTGATTTTAGAAAAGTAGAAGTCGGGTTATTTGGTAAAAAAAAAAAACTTTTTGTGTGTAATTATTATAGAAAAAGTGAAAAACAGTTATGGACACAACTTTATCGATAAATGCTTACGTTTAAAGAGGGAGAACAAAGAAGCACTTGTTGGAAAACACTACTCCTAGCTTTTCTAAAGCAGAAATTCAATTTTTAAGCAATTGCAAACACTCATATTCTACTTATAAGCTGAAATTTACGGCCTGCATAAAAAATGTTTGTCAGATCAATTAAATTGTGGTAAAAATGATTTCCTAAAAACAAAATTAATGACAAATATCACTAGTTAACTTGGGATCTACAATTTGTTTGGAGTGAGTATGGTCAGACTCTTCATGCCTGACACTGACAATGGTATGTTTGCACTCACTATGATGTCTTGATATGCAGGTTTCTGAGGCTATTCAAATTAGTGTACAAGCATTGAAGGATAATCAGATTAGTATTGAAGAAGTCACTATGTGTCTGGATGATCTTGATGAAAGCATTGATTCTCTGAAGCAAGTCGACGATGTTTTAGGTAATCTTTTACTGCGTATATTTTAAGTTAACGTGTTTATTCCAGTATTGGGGACATGAACTATTTGTTAACGCGAGATAGATGAATGCCAATGTTCCAAATGTAGGGCCAGTTTGGTAAGGGTTTGTTGTGAATGGAATGTTGTCCAGACAAATAAGTGAAATAACTAGTCAAAAGCTACTAAGTTTGCCGATGCGGTTTTCGGATACCAAACAGAGCTTTAGTATAGAATCTATGTGTTTCTCTTACTTTTGAGCATGTTGGCTAAGCCTAAAACACATCAGAAATTAAAATAACTCTTTCTCTCCCCAAAGCAACCTGTAATCTTAAAATTGAATTGTGATTGGTTTTGGGACCTTTCAGGATCACAGCTAGCTCTGACTCAAATTGAAGAAGAGGAGGTTGAAGATGAATTCATGAAACTCGAGGCTGAAATCAAATTTCAACCAAATCAAAACCGTATACAAGATGGAATAAACAATAGTAGTAATGCATTGACTGATGCTCTATCAAATCTCAGTCTTAAAGAGAATGGAGCATCAGAAAAGGTGAAAGAACATTCTATAAAGACAACGAGCAAAAATCACATGTCAAAAGATGCTACTTTGGAACCTGCTTGATCGTCTGTTTTAGTACACCATCCATGTTTGGCATAGCTTTCTAGAAGAAAAACATTCATATGGGAATGTGCTGTAGAAACTAGGATTTTGAGAAGTCATTGATGTAATATGATATCTGTCAATATACCGAACAATCCCTTGTAGTCGAGTTGGTGTGTAAATAAAGTGATATTTCTATTATTAGCTTCTCTAATGTCTTTATAACGTTTTCTCTTCAAGATTACAGGATGGAATGGTACAATACGTAAATCAATAAAACATTTCATTTATTATGATTAAGTTTTGCGGGACGGATGGAGTATTAATTATACTACGTAATACTCCGTATTAAATATATTCGATAGAATCAAATCAACTAACTGTCGATAAAAGCTACTCTGTTTATATTGAATTTTGACAACTTTCTTTTATATTTGTCTAAAAAAGATTATCACTTCTGTTTTAGAGTAACTAACTTATGGTTCTGCTTATTTCTCTCGGAAAAACAAATTTCAATTATATTTATACAATTTTGTTTTTCTTATTTCATTTTAACTCAAACTCAGTCAATTTAGATAATAATACAAGATTAAAAAATAACATCAAGATAAATGAAGACAATACATAATTGAATATCTCAACAACTAACAACTAATAATATATGACTAGACATTCCCCTATATATGGGTATATGACTGTATGAGTAAACTGTGCTTTCCTTGAATTATGCAAGTCCGATCCTGATTCTAAACCCAAAAAATTGAGCTTAATAAGTTTCGATGCCTAAGATAAGCAAGTTTTAAATTTGAATACTTTTTCGGGTGGGATTGATCATAGTGGTGTTGGGATTGATCATAGTGGTGTTCAATTCGATTCAACTCGAACTTATCGAATATCCAAAAATTATAGGGACAAACTAGTATTTCACCCGTGCGTTGCACGGAATGAAATTTATCGACACTTTTAATAGCAAAATAGAGTCCGGGTTTTTAAAAAAATGAGTGAAGAAATGAAAGTAGAGAGCAAAACTTATATGTCCCGGAATCCAGGCACACTGCTCGACTCCAGAAGTTGGGATTTTTTATAGCAAAAAAAGAATTGGGTAAAGACAACAGTATTACTCAATGATAATGATATTACATATAATAAATCCAATTATATGTGCTCACAAGATACAACATCATATAAGATGGAAAATTCATATAAGAAAAAGGATGTACGGGGGTAATCCATCATGATTCAGCAAGATGGAAAAATTGATCGAGATCAATCAAAAATATGTTCAGCCATCAATGCACTTCAAACCCCTGCAAACCCATAGGCAGATTATGAATAAAATGATGAAGACGATTAGGTCCAGCGCCAGAACCACCCACACATCTCTTCCAAACTCTCTTCACCTTCTGGTGCCCCAATTCACCTGAAAACCAAGGAACTTGTTGTTGGTTACCATACCAAGTTTAAAACATAGATTTGTTGTTGGTTATATAACCAAGTTTAAATCTTGGATTCTTATGTGAAAGACATACTCATACAATCATTCTTAAGATGAACTAACTAACTAAGCCAAAGCAAACACCTTAAAGAAATTTTCTACACATCAAAGTTCATATTTGCAGAAAAACAGATATTTCAAGAATAGAATAGAATAAAATAATTGGAATAAAAATGGGGACTTTTAAAGTACTACGCAGAGCCAAAGTCTAAAAATAGCGACAATCTGTAGAAGTCTTCTTAAAAGTGTCATTTTTTGGCTTAGTTTTATCTTAAAATTAGCATAGTTTTGATGTACATCAAAACTGTTTCATCAAGAGGAAATATATTTGAATACCAAATCAAAACTAAGATATAAAATCATGGAGTGATTCTTAACAACTAAATTAGTAATATGTGAATATTAGCAACTAATCATACAAACTAAAGCATTCACCTGCTTAATAGTTCTGATACTACATGTCTACATGTGTCCTAACATTAGATCTATTGGTTAAGACTATAGTATGAGGAAGACCCATTACCTTCACTTTCTGATAGAATAAATATGTGTTAGAAAGATAGTATAAATAATGCGAGTTCAGTCAGATAAAATCCCGAGTTTAATCACAAATCACCAGACAAACCACCAAATGCAAGAACAAATAAAATAATAACAACAATTAGATATAAAATATTAATGTAAAAAGTAAAGAAAGAAAGACTTAGCGTAAGATCGTCCGTTAACCGGACTGGCCTTGAAGAAAGATAGCCCCCGTATCTCGATAGCTACTCGAACGGGACTGGCCAACTCGCTCCCAGGATAATCCTACACCGTTTCAGACTTGTAGCTACCTTGACTGAAACCTTCGACCGTTGCCCAATATGCCGTAGACTCGTTAAGTAGATAAAAACTTTATGAGGATGCTATGGATTTAATATGCTCTCGGTACAAGGGTAAAATCAGTGAAAGAAAAAAAATGAAGCCTTTTCTATTCTTCTCAGTGCTCTGTATTGCGTAAGTAAGCAAAATGAATCGGAGTGTAGACTGGCTTTTATTCATACGTATGTGTATTAACCGAGAGCATGCATGTGGATAGATTTTTAAATTTGGAAATCAAAATAAAATATATCAATTTGAGTGCGGTCCTATCAATTTGCATCCACCATCCAAGAAATTAGGATCACAAACAATATTGACCAAGCTCACACCTCATACATCGGACACTCACTTCAAAATTTCAATTTTGAAACTTCCGAAATATGTTTAATAGCCACATGCGTATTTATCATTATAAAATGATAAATAAAACATAATTTGAACATTTGTTCTAAAATTAGATAGGCCACTAGCTTGAAATTACATCCCAGACATTCTTATTCCGTACTCATTTAATTTTATCTGTACGAATAAGTGATTCTCATAGGATAATTTCTAAGCCACTTTATATGATACTTGAATAACGTTCCTTTATCATATAACATCTAAAGAAGACCAATCATTTTATAAATAGAACAAAAATTCTCAATACATCACTTTTACAATCTTTACAACTATGGATTTTAATCATTAAATGATATAAATCCAAACGTAAAAAATTGTTCTTTGATGTATAATAAGCCACACTCAATTCATATTTTATACATATTATTTTAGAACTCTAAGAGAACTAAAAACAATAACATTTATATCATCATTTTTCCAACAATCCCCCACAAATCCATAGTTGTAGACTAGACTCTAACAGACATAGTGTGCTTTCGAATATGGTACCTTCCGGTTTGAACCAACTTCTAAGCTTTTATCCCTAACCCCCACAGGAACTGAGTGAACAGAGTTCTTGAACTCGAACCTTGATAGTGTTGGCGTGGGATAAAAGCAACACACTAATGGCAATGGCAACGATCTATAGGGTTGACGCTTTACGGCCGTGCGTCCCGATCCTGTCTCAAGAATGTCATCGAGAATTAACCCCTATTCTCTTATTGCGGCCACACAATAACATTCTCATAGTTGGGCATCTCCAAGAGTGCATTGCTAACACTCTGCTATTAATTAAAGCTCGATCCCATTCAGAGTCTTAAACTCTTACTTACTTAGCAATTTCAGCATCTCTCAGGCTTATCAAGGAATAGAACTCATTAAATATTTTAATGAGATGCACAATTCACTCTACGGTTTGTTTATACCACATTGAACCTACTTTGTGGGATCTCCACTCAGATAGGTTGGGTTGCTACCGTAGTTGAATAATTGTTGGGTTTCAGTCCCATTCCTAACCTGGATTTTATCACTTGATTTAAATCAAGTCCTTTTGTTAAAGGGTCCGCTGTATTATCTTTGGATCCAACAAAATCAACAGCAAACACCCCTTGAGACACAAATTTCCTTATAGTTTTTAATCTAACTTGAATGTGTCTCCTAGTCTTTTGATTATACTTGGTACTCCTAATTTTTGTAATTGTGCTCATACTATCACAATGCAAACAAATAGGTGGAATTGGCTTGCTGAATATAGGTAACTCAGACATTAGTCCCATAAACCATTCAGCCATAATTCCAGTAGTATCCAACGCACACAATTCAGCCTCAAAAGTAGACCGAGAAAGTATTGTTTGTTTAGTGGACTTCCAGGCAACGGCCCCACCACCAAACGTAAACACATAACCGGTACATCCATAACTCCCGGAGTTCTTAGCTATCCAGCTTGCATCACTATATCCCTCAAGAACAGGAGGATATTTACCGTAATGCAAACACAAGGAAATAGTTCCTTTTAAGTATCTAAATACTCTATCTAAGGCTTCCCAATGAGTTCTATTCGGACAACAAGTGTACCGACTTAACTTAGACACTGAAAATGCAATATCAGGTCTAGTACAGTTAGCTAAGTAACCCAAGCTACCAATCATCTGAGAATATCTTAATTGAGACACAGGAACACCACTTTCATTTTTATACAAAGCTACTGAAGGATCATAGGGTGTTTTAGCAATTCTACTATTTTTAAATCCAAATTTCTCAATTAATTTTTCAATATAATGCGACTGAGAAATAGAAATTCCTTCAGTTGATCTAGTCAACTTTAGTCCAAGAATTACTTCGGCCACCCCCATATCCTTCATTTCAAACTTTGTTTTCAAAAATGATTTAGTCTCAAAAATAATATTATCATTAGTGCCAAATAATAATATATCATCAACATATAGGCATAAAATAATACTAATATCACCTTTACATTTATAATAAACACTTTGATCAGCATCTATAAGAGTAAATCCAAACGAAAGAATTATTTTATCAAATTTTTCGTTCCATTGCTTAGGGGCTTGCTTTAGTCCATATAGAGACTTAACTAATTTACAAACTTTTCTCTCATTGCCTTTTGCCACAAATCCTTCAGGCTGATCCATATAAATCTCTTCTTCAAGGTCACCATGAAGAAAAGCTGTCTTAACATCCATTTGATGAATTTTAAGACCATATACGGAGGCCATTGCTATTAGCATTCTAATTGTGGTCATTCTTGCAACCGGAGCATATGTATCGAAAAAATCAATACCTTCTTTTTGTTTGTAACCCTTTGCAACTAATCTGGCCTTAAATTTATCAATGGTTCCATCTGGTTTTAATTTCTTCTTAAAAATCCATTTACACCCAATAGTAGTACACCCGGGTGGAAGATCAACGAGCTCCCATGTTCCATTTTGAACAATGGAGTCCATTTCACTTTTAATGGCATCCTTCCAATGCATGGCTTCGGAAGTAGCCATTGCATCTCTAAAGGAAACTGGATCACCCTCAATATTGTAAGTGATAAAATCACTTCCAAATTTCTTAGTGATCCTAGCCCGTTTGCTCCTTCTAGGCTCATCTAGTTCATTTGATTCAAAACTAGCGAGACTAGTACTACTAGATTCTACCCCCACATTTGTCATCTTTTCCACTTGATCAGGAATTGAATTAAATGTGGTTTCTTGATTTTTAAAAGAAATATTTTGGGGCACACCCGTTTTCATTGGGAAAACATTTTCAAAGAAAGTAGCATCACGAAGTTCTATAATAGTATTAACATCTATACCAGAAATTTCAGATTTAATAACCAAAAATCTCAATGCATAAGAATGTTCAACATAACCAATAAAAATTGCATCAACAGTTTTAGGCCCAAGTTTCTTTCTTTTGTGTTCAGGGACTAATACTTTTGCAAGACAGCCCCACACTTTGAAATATTTTAAACTTGGTTTTCTGCCTATCAAGAGTTCAAATGGACACTTATCTTTATGTTTCATGGGAATCCTGTTCAGAATATGGCAGGCCGTATTCAAGGCTTCCCCCCACATAAACTTAGGTAATCCAGAATTCTCTAATAAACTGTTAATCATATCTTTAAAAGTTCTATTTTTCCGTTCAGCTACTCCATTTGATTGTGGTGAATAAGGAGGTGTTTCTTCATGTACTATACCATATTTTTGGCATTCTAGTACAACTAAATTAGAAGTGTACTCTCCTCCCCTATCAGATCTTAACCTTTTAATTTTCTTGCCGGTTTGATTCTCTATTTCATTCTTAAAAATTAAGAATTTTTCAAGAGCTTCATCTTTACCCTTAAGTAGATACACATAACAGTATTTAGAATAATCATCAATAAAAGTGATAAAGTATTTCTTCTTGTCACGAGTCAACACTCCATTAAACTCACAAATGTCGGTATGAATTAAATCAAGTAATTCAGAATTTCTATCAATTGAATGATATGGTTTTCTTACTTGTTTTGTAGTAGCACATATCATACATTTCTTAGTTTTATCAATAGAGTGTTTAGGAATTAAATTTAAATTCATCATTCTTTTTACAGAATCTAAATTAACGTGACCCAAACGATAATGCCATAAAGTTGAAGAATCACAATTCTCAGATACATAATTTAATTCAAAATAATCAACCACAATCTTAAAAAGTCTATCCGACAAGTAACCCTTGCCAATAAAAATTCCACCAAATAAAATTACAACTTTATTAAATTTAAAAGATAACTCATAACCCTCCCTAACTAGAATGGAACCACTAACAATGTTCCTTCTAATTTCGGGAACGTGATGCACTCCATGCAAAGTAAGTATTTTTCCCGAAGGAAATTTTATTTCTACTTTTCCAACTCCATGCACACTAGCAGCACTTGTGTTTCCCATCATCACTGTTCTTCCAACCGCAGGCTGATAAGAAACAAAGAGCGATTTATCAGCACATACATGCACATTCGCTCCTGTATCTATTAGCCACTCATTGGAATTATATATAGTGAAAACTTGAGGGTTAATGGAAACATACCCATCGGAACTAGTTCCTCCAGTCACCACGTTGACTTGAGGTCCACCAGATTGAGCCTTAGCCTTTTTATTTGGGCATAATTTGGCCCAATGCCCCATCTGTCCACAGTTCCAGCATGGCCGGTTTGCCTTTGGTTTCTTTGCAATTTTTAATTTGGCCTTTATTGGTTTAAAAGATGATGGTTGTTTATTTTTAGAATTTTGTGACTGCTTTCCCCCGGTTACAACATGAGCCTTTGGCTGAAATTCAACAGGCACAATATAACCCGCTTTCTTATGTTCTTCCTCAACAGTAATGGAATGCATCAAACTTTTCCAAGTTATCTTTTTCATTTTGTGTTTTAAAGTCAAACCAAAATCTTCCCACGATTTGGGGAATTTTTCAATTACAGCCATGACTTTAAATTTTTCAGGCAATTCCATATCTGCTTCACGGAGAGAATGTAAGATAAGCTCAAATTCTTGTGTTTGTTCTAAAACAGATTTTCCCTCTTTCATGTCGAATCTCAAGAATTTGGAAACAATATACTTTTCTAGACCGTGGTCATCAGTATTATATTTCCTATCCAACTCATCCCAAAGGTCTTTAGCCGTGCCGTGGAGGGTGCAATAGACATCAAATAACATGTCGGAGAGTCCCAACAATATCATTCCTTTGGCTATTTCATTCCTCTCACGCCATAAAGTTTGGCGTTCAAGACTTTTGGGATCAGACTCGACAATGGGGGGACACACCGTCATAATTACCGAGAGCAATCCCTTGGTGATTAACCAAATTTTCATGCGTTGTTGCCAACGCTTGAAAAAATGCCCGGAAAATTTTTCAGGCATTCCCGTCAAATCAACCCTGTGAGAGCCCGTAGCAACAAATTCAGGTGTGTCACCAGAATTAGTCACAAACACAGAATTAACATTATTTTCAGGGGTTTCATTCACATTATTCTCAACAACAACGTTTTCAGAAGTAGCAGCATTTTCCAAGTTCGTCATATTGGATTTTCAAAACTCGAGAAATAATATCTTTCTTCAAGATTGTTAGAAAGATAGTATAAATAATGCGAGTTCAGTCAGATAAAATCCCGAGTTTAATCACAAATCACCAGACAAACCACCAAATGCAAGAACAAATAAAATAATAACAACAATTAGATATAAAATATTAATGTAAAAAGTAAAGAAAGAAAGACTTAGCGTAAGATCGTCCGTTAACCGGACTGGCCTTGAAGAAAGATAGCCCCCGTATCTCGATAGCTACTCGAACGGGACTGGCCAACTCGCTCCCAGGATAATCCTACACCGTTTCAGACTTGTAGCTACCTTGACTGAAACCTTCGACCGTTGCCCAATATGCCGTAGACTCGTTAAGTAGATAAAAACTTTATGAGGATGCTATGGATTTAATATGCTCTCGGTACAAGGGTAAAATCAGTGAAAGAAAAAAAATGAAGCCTTTTCTATTCTTCTCAGTGCTCTGTATTGCGTAAGTAAGCAAAATGAATCGGAGTGTAGACTGGCTTTTATTCATACGTATGTGTATTAACCGAGAGCATGCATGTGGATAGATTTTTAAATTTGGAAATCAAAATAAAATATATCAATTTGAGTGCGGTCCTATCAATTTGCATCCACCATCCAAGAAATTAGGATCACAAACAATATTGACCAAGCTCACACCTCATACATCGGACACTCACTTCAAAATTTCAATTTTGAAACTTCCGAAATATGTTTAATAGCCACATGCGTATTTATCATTATAAAATGATAAATAAAACATAATTTGAACATTTGTTCTAAAATTAGATAGGCCACTAGCTTGAAATTACATCCCAGACATTCTTATTCCGTACTCATTTAATTTTATCTGTACGAATAAGTGATTCTCATAGGATAATTTCTAAGCCACTTTATATGATACTTGAATAACGTTCCTTTATCATATAACATCTAAAGAAGACCAATCATTTTATAAATAGAACAAAAATTCTCAATACATCACTTTTACAATCTTTACAACTATGGATTTTAATCATTAAATGATATAAATCCAAACGTAAAAAATTGTTCTTTGATGTATAATAAGCCACACTCAATTCATATTTTATACATATTATTTTAGAACTCTAAGAGAACTAAAAACAATAACATTTATATCATCATTTTTCCAACAATATGTATTGTTTTATACATGCTCCTCCAGGACTTGGACACTGCAGCTTTTTACAATTTTCAATAAACAGTTGACCTATTTAGGAAATCTGAAAAACCCAGCCAAAGAAATTCTGATAAATTAGAAGACACAATCTCATCACACCGAACTTATTTTTTCTCATACACAAAACAAACTTAGGAACTACAAACCATCCAGAAGAATAAAAATGAACAAATTAAAGATGTCTTGCTAAACCATCCAGATCAAATCATTAACATTCTTTACTTCAAATTGTTGGTTTATAGGGTATAGAATTTGGTATGTAGGGCCATTAGATAATACTCCGTAGAATGAAGTAACTAAATTTACATTCAACAAAAATAGGCATTACATATACAAATATATATACAACACACATATACTTTGACCAATAAACTGGCCCTTTTAATTTTGAAATCAATAGAAATCCAATCGTATTTAAAAGATATGTTATATTTCTGTTACCTAAACCTCTCTTCTTCTATATTTCTTTTAAATGCTATATTTTTCGAATTAATGTTAATTAATTAATTAATTACGAAAATAGGGTTGGGTTAAAAGTATTTATTAAAATACTGCTGGTTTAACCAGGGTCGGGGAAAGTCGCCCAACCGTTGGGCGATTATAAGTCGCCAAACCGTTTGGCGACTTATAAGTCGCCCAACGGTTGGGCGACTTTCCCTTAAGTAAATTCATCGGACAACCCCAAAACAGATCTGTGCGTAAAACAATTCCCAAAACCTCCTACCCGCAGCGACGAACGGATGAAGGACGAAGACGACCGAGCCATTTCTAACTCCGGCGAACCTCCATCTCCGGCGACCCCACTCCGGCAAACCTCCATCTTCATCTTCAACACTCATTCTTCTTTGTTCTAGGTAAATCAAACTCCATTTCATCTCATTTTGAACTTAGGGTTTTAAATGTTAAAAGTTTCGAATTTTTGGATTATGAATTGATTGTGAATTAAGTTGTTGTGAAATGTGGATATGTATGAAATGTTGAAATTTGATTTTAAATTGATTGTAAATTTAAATGTGTATTTTGACATTTGGGCATTTGGGTAGACTAGAATGTAGCTAAATTTGGGTATTGAAAGGTAGACGTGAATGTAGATATCAAAATTTTGGTAGTTTCATATTGAAATGTGAATTGTTTGTGAATTTTGACTTTTGGATATATTACAATTTTGGTAGTTTTTTCTATTGAAAATTTGAATGTGTTTAAAGTGTGTATATTGGTGCTGCAGGTTTTTATACTCTTCACAGATTAGTGGCTACTGTGCCTCTAGATAGAGCGCTTCTCACTGCTCTACTTGAGCGTTGGAGGCAGGAGACGCACTCATTTCACCTCCCAGTTGGTGAGGTGACAGTGACATTGGGAGATGTTGCTGTACTTACCGGGTTAGAGGTTCATGGGAGAGCTGTTACAGGCACTGCTTGTCGACAGTGGGTGGATGAGTGTGAGCGGTTGTTAGGTATGCGCCCCGTTCTTAGGACTGACCTTCAGGGGTCATCTCTGAGGATGCCATGGTTGAGGGAGCACTTCCACGTGCTTCCTCCCGACGCTGATGAGGTGATGATCCAGCAGTATGCTCGGGCTTATATATTGATGATGATGGGAGCCTCCATTTTCGCTGACAAGAGCGGAAATGAGGTTCAGGTGCTGCACTTACCTTTGCTAGAGAGGTTTGATGTAGCAGCACAGTTCAGCTGGGGTAGTGCCACCCTGACTTACCTGTACAGACAGCTTTGTCGCGGCTGCCAGAGAGGAAGCACAAAGCTTGGGGGATTTTTGCTACTCCTCCAGATTTGGTCATGGGAGTATATCCACATTGGCCGTCCCATTATAGTCGGATATCATGGCATTGATGGACAGCCACTGCCTGATGAGCCTCCACGTCTTCTAGGACCTCATCATGTATGGGGCGAGGACCCTCTAGGCCGTCGGTATGTTTTCAATCGTTTGTATTAATGTGAGTATATGTTGTGTGTAAATACATTAATAATATCCATATTAATGATACTGTTACATGAATGGTTAGATGGCTATATGCTGGTCTATCTCGCATGTCATCCGCTACTGGGCTCGGTGTGTACAGGGATGCATTTGATCGGATGTCTGAGGACCAGGTATGGTGTGGGTAGTATAACATTAACTATAATATGTACAGAAAATCTCCTAATTTTGTATCGTTATGAAACAGATTACATGGATGTCGTTTACACCTGAGATGTTAGCAGAGTTGCCCCCAGCTGGACGAGAGCATACTCACATATGGCGAGCACGTGTGCCGTTGATATGTTTTGACATTGTTGAGCTTCATTTGCCTGATAGAGTCTTGCGACAGTTTGGGTTTGAGCAGGTGGTTCCACGGCCTATCGACACTTATGTTGAGCTGCATAGGCTGGATAGGCGTGGGAAGCATACAGAGGATTGGGCACTCAGACATGTCCGATATGTGACTATGTGGGAAAGGAGAGCTGAGCTAGTTGTGGCCGGGACACTGACATATGTGCCATCTGTTTCAGGAGACTACATGGGACGGTATTACAGCATCACTCGTTTGTTTGTGTCTCCTTCGTTCAGACTCCCTACTCATCATTATCAGCCCAGTTCCTTAGCTTTGCATCTTACGGTGAGTATATTACTAATTAGTAAAGTAAGTCATTTTATTTATGTAATATTTGTATATATTTCAATGTAAATGTAATTGTGTTTCACATTTCAGACACGAGCTTTGCAGCGCATACATCAGCGGGCTACTGCCACAGTGACTGATAGTCCTGATGTGGACTTGTATGGACAGGCTCTCACAGACATTGCGTCCTTGTGTTCAGATGTGTTGGGGCGAGTCGACTACGGCCATCTTATACACATGCCCCCATCTCAGGAGATGCCATCCACGTCTAGTGCAGCGGCGGCTTCATCATCCCAGACGCAGCATGAGAGAGTGGTTCTTCAACCACGACAACGGCGTAGGCGTAGACAGGAGCAGCAACATCTCCATGACGAAGTTGACGATGGGAACTTGTAGTCTGTCTTTTGTATTGTAGTTTTTCTTATGCAGTAGATGTTGTAGGAACAATTTACAACATTTGACGTATTTTCTCTTGTAAAGTCTTGTATGTTGTCTTGATGTGTTCGAGTCTGAATATTAGATGATTACTTGTTATGAATATTGAATGATTGTACTGTGTTATACCGGTTATTTTCAAGGTGTTTTTTATGTTGATGAGAGGGGGTGTTATGTATGTGGTTGAGAATACGTGTGTTGTATGTTTTATAATGTGTTTTATAATGTGTTGTATCTGGCTCGTAACACTTAAACAGGAGAAGAGAGACCTTATTTATAGCAAACAGATGAGTCCGGGTTGAATTGGGGCGAAAAATCTGCTGAAATGCTGTTTTTGGACCTAGGCACGATCGTGCGTCCCAGGGTACGCACGATCGTGCGTGGCTGGCAGTACCTGCTCGCCTTCAACCATATTTCAGGGGTAAGTCGCCCAACGGTTGGGCGACTTATAAGTCGCCAAACGGTTTGGCGACTTATAAGTCGCCCAACCGTTGGGCGACTTACCCCTGACCGTGGTTAAGGCCCAGCAGTATATTGGTAAATACTTTTTTTCCAGCATTATTTTCGTAATTAATTAATTAATTAACATTAATTAGAAAAAAAACTCTTTTTAGCTACCAAAAATATTTACTTTTTTCATCTGGCACTCATGATGTGCTCTGTGGCCTTCTAATGGAGTTTACTTCTCTATAGCTCTTATTGAAATTGTTCAGTTTTTTACTACATTTATTGTATTTGGACTTGGCTCTACACTACTAATAGTATACGGAGTACTTCATAGCAAATTCAATTTGGAATTTGTAATAGTTTGAGTTTTCTAGTGATCCAGGATATAACTTGGACAGCCTGCAAATGTCAAAGCTGCAGAATCAAATTTGAACAATATAAGAATAAGTAAAACCCAAATGGGAAACTGTGAAGCTTCAAGCTCATTTTTAAATTGAATACTTGATCCATGGCATCAATGGTAATTCAGCTTTAAAGAAACTTTAAGCATTTGGAGAGAAGATAATATGCCTGGTGAGTGCCTGGATTGGATACATAAACAACACAAAAACTACCAACACAAAAATTAAACAACAGAAATAGAAGCATATTGAGTGGTGTGAAAAATGCCAAATCTGGGAGTACAACTTGTATGGAAAAACTTATCTTTAAGACTTTAAGAAGAAGCAGCTGAGAATTTTGATGAATCGTTTTAATCAGATTAGGGAGAAATTATATACCCCTTCCGTGCATATTTGAATTTCCTGATTTCAATATCAAGCATTTTAAGGAACGAAATTATTTCCTTCGAATTTCTGAATGTCCTTTTTCCGATGATAAATTTTACTTACACTATTTATCATTGTAGGATTATTATCATTTAGAGGTAGTAAAGTAAATAGATACAAATTTATTTACCAATTAAAGAAAGACGGTTTTTTAAAAACATCCAAAAATGAAAAAGATAGAACCTCTACCAGACAAGAAGGAATATATGTTAATAGTTAAACACTTAAACTTCTTTAATATGAGATTGATGGGTCTAGATATGATCATTAACAAATCGAATACTTACAAACTATTCGAGCACAAACCTATTAATTAATATAATCTAAACTTTTACATTCGAACATAGATGTTTTTAGGAGATTCAATAGGTTCTACATAACAGGGCCTGGGGGTCCCAAATTTTTAAATACTCCGTATTTATTAGTATTATATGGTAATATTATACTCTGTATATTAATACTAATCGGTAAAATACAGTTAGTAAAGAAAAAAAATACAGAGTCATCATTTTTCCGTCAGTGCTTTTAGTCCTACATTACTCAAATTGCTCGAGTAATGTGTTGTGTTGCTTTAAATCAAGTACTCTTTTCGTCTCATTTTACTTATCCTAATAAGTGTCACATTTCTTTTTATTGGGGGGGTGTATGTGGTCTACAACGTATCATTTATTATACTTAAATCTAAATCTCAACTTTTTTCGATCACTTTATTAATAATTGTCAAATCAAAGTAGGACACGTAAAATGTGACGTAGATTGAGATTTTTTTAAATATATTAATGTGTGGTCTCCAAAATCATCGGACAATTCTGCATTCGAACACAAGTGACAAACATGTAAAGTCTAACGAGGTATGGAGCCGAACTCAAACTTCAGGTGTAAGTTTTACCATTAAAATCTCATCTGGATCTCCTCTGGAATACACCTGATCAGTCTATTGTACTGTTTGGCTACAATCCAAGTTTCTCACTGGAGTCATTGCCAACTGTTACACATATTTCTGTTAGTGATTTCATTGGATCTATATGACATGGCATATACGGAGTATATTGGTATTATAGCGAAAGGGTCAGTTTATATTGAATATTAAACTCGTAGTGCTCATAGGATTACCCTGAAAAAACAAATTTAATGAAGATCTAATACGGAGTATATCTACACGAATCGCACAATTTGGGTCATCTTTCGTGCGGTTACGTTAATCTTTTGTGATTATGTAATATAGACAAAAAAATTAGTC